AGCTTTCCATCAAATAAACCCTGGTCTGATTCCCAGCCCTTTGGGAATGGTTGCCCACAGCTAACATTTGCTACCCCAAATAACCCCGAGGTGACCTTCTCGCTGCAAAGCTGCAGCCAAGAAAAACCCTATTTAACATAACAGTGCACAGCTTAGAACATCAACTTGAACCATCCTGACCTCTGAGCTGCTGGGGTCTGTACAAATTAATTTAACAATAGACAGTGTTGAAAGGGAGGAATGTTTCAAAGGAATAAAAAAAAAATCTCCCTCATCCATCTCTTCTCATTTAAGAAATAGTCAGGAGGCCTACTTCAGAAAAATTAAAAGTGCTCCTTGTTGCAAAACAATGGGCTATAGAAGGGGAGGGGGAAGACTTTGGTTTCTTGCATCTTAGCGTAGCGAAATGAAATTTCCCATAAACGGGTGCTGCTTTTGGAATATCGGCCTTCAGCTTCCACTGGGGAATTGGCTTTATTTCCTGGGATACTTCGAAGATACTCTTGGGGTTTGCCTTTCTTTTTCGTAGCTGCTGCTATTACTTCTGTTAAGCAAATAAATGTCTCCCCTTTCTGCCCACTTCACTGGTTTGTACCTTGCCTGATGCTTTCCATGGCTTTCATGCAAATAACCTGGCTGGGTAAGAAGAAAGCCCAGACTCTCCATATGGTACTTAGAGCTTAAATCAGTTAATGACTGGAAAAGCCCATCAGATAGGAGATATGTAGCAAAATGAGATCATCAGCTACTGGGGGCAAACAAGCTTTGTTAGTTCTCCTGAACAGAAACCTTGGTTGGGTTAAGTCTTGGAGGCTTTCCCCAGATGCAGACTTATTCCTCTGGTCCTCCCTGGCTGGAACTTTGACTTCAGCAGTCTTATTGTTTGTAAGTAGGGAGGATTGTTACAGCAGGGGTGGTGAAGTTGAAGACAATAAACAACGTTAATGAAATTTTTAAAATTTGGGTAGAATTGCTTTGGCAGCTTGAAAGCTTTGTGATGAGCACAGATGAGAGAGAAGTTTCCTCCTGAAGCATCCAGTGGACTTCACTAATTACATCTATGAAACGGCCTGTTTTTCTTTATTTAGCCAGTGTAATTCATTACGATCATAATTTCTGGTTTTCTACACAAATGTTTTTTTCTTCACAATTGAGTTGTGCTTCCTTCAGGAACCCAGGGCATGAGCCCAAGCACATCCCCAGGTGGTACCAAGGGAGATTCCCCAGTGAGCAGCGGAGGGGTCTGCTGCCAGCGGGGGGGTGGGAAGGCTGCGGAGGGGCTGCCCTCTCCTCCCAGACATTCCCAAAGCCGGGGACTGTGAGGTGTGAGAAGCTGCAGGGGCTGCGGGGGAGAAGACTGCATGTTTGGTGCAAAGGGAGATAAGATAAACCAGTATTTCTCTGGCCTTACTGCAGCTTTCCACACACAGCCTTCAAGATCCTGTGAGGTTGTAGGGGTCCTCTTGCAACTAATACAGTAATGACCTTGAATTTGCTTCCAGCTCAGCTGTGCAGCTGGAGGACAAGGCTTTTCTTGTGAGCAAAAAACATTAAAGCAGTGCAGAGATTTGCCTGCATAGCTCCGGTCTTCAAGAGATTTGAGTATCCTTTCTGAGGCCCCACTTGCAACAAGGGATTGTAGATAAGCTTCTGCAGTAGTTAATGTGTAAAGTTTTCGGATTTATTCTCACTGGTGCCTCTCCTTTTGCTTGCAGTGTTGACAAATATACTGCTGCGTGCAGATTTTTTGTTTTACACCGTTCATTTTTTTGCTGCATGGAAAAGGTAATCGTGAGCGTGCTCAAGTGTGCACACTGACCAAGGCGAGTGTGCTTTTATGACATTGCAAGTGTTAGGGGGGGAAAAATTCATTCGCTTTGATTTAAAAATAATTAATAATGCAACTCATTCTTTTTTCAGATTGTAACCTGATTATCAAGTTTAGGAGTCCAGGCTAATTCTTCATGCTGAGGCAGTCTGCTGCACCAAGCACATGCAATCACAATTAGAAGCTTTCATAGTCTCACACCTGAATTTCGAGTAAACCCTTTTTATTTCTTACCAACTTCTGGTTATAAGATCAACAAAACTTGGAAAAATTGAGAAAAAAAAGTGAGATTTTTGCTATGGATTATGTTTAAATCGTGTTTGGACTTGTTACGTGACTCAGTGGAGCATGGTAGTGACCTCTTCCTTTATAGCTTCGACTTCCTGCAAGCTTGTCTGTTAAAAAGATTCTGCAAGATGCTTCCTTTGCGGATCCTGTAAGAAGTGTATATTCAGCAGGAGAAACATCTGACTGAGCAGAGTCTAACTTACACAGTGGTTTGGAAGCCACGTGTTGAAAAGTGCTGGGGAAACACAGCAGGGAAAATGATAAAAAGGGATGAAAGCAGTTCAGATGGGTGAAGAATGCTGATTTAAAAATGCAAACCATCTGAACACTGAACGCACGTTGCAGTAACTTCAGGGCAAACCTAAGTTGCACAACAGTCATATACTGTCAGTCGACTCTCACAGGACATCTCCTGTAGTGATTTAAAATGGGAAGGGGCTGGGGGGAGCGTCGAGGTGCTACAGAGAGCAATCTTGCAACAGCAGCAGCAGCAGAGAGCAAGTAGGAAATGGGTCAGTTGGAGTAATAGCTTTTTTTTTGGCTTGGCTCACAGAAACCACATGGAAACGTGTGTGGAGCACAGGGTTATCTCGCTCATGAATATTATTTTTTTTTCAGTGTATTAGAAATGGAATGTGTTTGCAATGAAATTTGGTCATCCAAGTGTGACATGAATCCTCTCGCTCTGTTTGGACACTGCCTTGACTCCCAAAGTCAGCTTGCTGTTTTTAATGTTCTAGGCTTTGCCTAGGTCATTAAAATAGGCTGTGTTTGGAAATGCAATGCTGTGGCCTCACGTTCCCAGGAGGTCAGCAGAAATGCTAGCCCGAAGTATCCCAGCTAATACCACCTGCGGTCTGTTCTCGCCTCTGCCTTGTGGTAGGCAATCTCTCCTCGTTTGTGCTGAAACAACTGGATGTGTGACCACGCTGAAGTGGATAAAAGAGCTGACCCAGTTAAAGCAAAAAAAAAAAACCCTCTCTAACATATATTTCAACACACTAACCCCCTGCTGTATCAGTTTACTGGTCCAGTTTGTAATGTGCCGGCTCTGTACACAGGGGGGTGTTGGCAGTAGCGGAGGCACAGTGCAGGAACGAGGTACACCACTCTTACTGCTGTTTTCTTTTTGATGTGAAAACACAGCCTTAGTTACAGCTTTGGCCTAAACTTTGCGCTCAGCGTTGATGTATTTTAGCAGCTTGCAGAAAGGGGATAGCATCTGGTGACTGTGGTTTTGGTCCCTCGTGGGGGTCAGGTATGAGCAAGCAGTGTGTTATCAGCGGTGTGTAAGCCGTGTGTGGTGTTTGGATGCGGTGTGATGAGATGGTGGCTCCTGGGGCGCAAGCTGTTAATGAAACCCAAGCCTGCCCCCACTCTTTTTTTCCCTTTTCTGCTCGCAGCTGGTACAAGTGGCTCTTAAGTCCCACCATTAAGCAGTCATTGAAACAAATGGGGTTAGAAACAAAACTCCAGAAGAAGGGGTTTATTTTTAATCCAGATCAGGTAAGTGATCTGTCACTAAGTGGTACACCGAGTTCCACTGCAGTGTAGCAACTGAGGCTCACGAAAACTGTGATTCAGGAAGGTGAATGATAAGGGATATGAGGTATGACCAGGCTTTCTTTAGCCAGCTTTACCAGCAGTGCCCACACCACTGGGTTAAGCAAGTGAGTTCGTGTAAGGGCATAGTGTGCGTGATGGTCTGATAATGTGTTAGTGTATTTTCCTTGGAACACAGCCCCCTCAGTCAGACTTTATTTCATTTTGGACCATGCATCCCTCCAATAACACACAAGCTGTCCAAAATCCCCAGGTATTAGTAGAGCACAGATTTCCAAGTCTAGGTCTGACATTGCCAATCCACCCCCTTTATGTACATCTCTAGCATTGTCCTAAAGGCATGTATTTAGTTAGTTGTGCCATCCATCCCCCTTTTTGGAAAATGCAAACCCCTCACACCTCGACGTGCAGAACTCCTTCAGTGTGCGTGCAGCATCCGTAGCAGAGGTACAACAGTCACTTTCTTATTTGGGTCTGATCCTGGGCTGCACTCCCCAGCAAATCACAGACTCATAGAATGGTTAGGGTTGGAAGGGACCTCAAGGATCATCTAGTTCCAACCCCCCTGCCATGGGCAGGGACACCTCCCACTGGAGCAGGTTGCTCAAAGCCCCATCCAGCCTGGTCTTGAACACTTCCAGGGATGGGGCGTCCACAACTTCTCTGGGCAACCTGTTCCAGTGTTTCACCAGCCTCACAGGTTAGAATTTCTTCCTAGGATGTGGCCCACTGATGCTGTGCCAGTTCATACCAGCTGAGGAAACGAAAAGGCTCCCCTCCAACCCACCAGTGTGATGTTATTCCCTGCTTCCCCTCGATATCCACAGAGCACTGCCTTTTCAGGGCTGGGGGCAGAGGAGGGCTGTCGAGCTGAGAGTTTGTGCTCCCTGCCTGGTCCCTTTGGGGACAGGCTTGCTTGGAGTCCCACTGTGTAAGGACTTGCAGTGGCAAAAGAGAAGACAGCTGATGTTGTCCCCACTGTGCACACAGCCGGGCACGGGTTTTGCTTTTGCTCTCTTAATGCTACACTCTGTATAGCAGAAGCAGGCGGGCACATGATCTCCCTGAAGGCAGGATCCAGTGTTACTGTAGAAACTGGCCACCAGCTTCTTTTGTAGCTAGCAGCTGTCACTGTGTGGTTACAGCCAAAGCGTGTCACTCCTACAGTGTCTGCAGGCTCTGGAGTTTGTTTCTGCTTCTGAGTCCTCCGTGCTACAGCTTGGAGATTAATTCTGCGCCTTCTATCAAAGCGTGTTAAGATATTTCTGAATTGCATCTATTTTTAGAGCCTTTCTTGATTAATATTTGATGTTCTTTCCAGGTGTCATTTTCCTTCACCAACACTTCAAGGCACAGAGGAGCTGGTAAAGGCATTGCCATGAAACCTAACTTGAAGCAATGGAAACAACTCATGCTGTTTGGGATCTTTGCATGGGGTCTGCTTTTTCTGGTGATATTCATCTATTTTACAGATAGCAACACTGCTGAACCGGTTCCCAGTTCCTTTTCTTACATTGAAACTAAGAGGCTTCTGCCCCTTCAGGGCAAGCAGAGGGTCATCATGGGAGCCATACATGATCCATCATTCTCTGAAACCATCAATGGGAATGAGGTACTTCTTAATGAAGATCTCTTAGGTACATTTAAGTCGGGGACTGGAAGTATTAAGAAATGGACTGATTTGGAAGATGCCTTTAGGAATGAAGATGAATTTTTTCCATCCCAGATAGGAAGAAAATCAAAAAGTACTTTCTACCAAGTGAATGACGATTATTTATTTGCTGCTGGTCAGCCTCGGCCACACAACCACCTACAAGAGGTAGCAAAATTCATCTCAGCTGATGAGGATAATCCAAAAGTAAATATTTTACAGAACAACTGGAGCCATCAGAGAAGAATGAGGAGGAGGAGCATAAAGCACAGGAGAAGCCAGCTGCTTGACGAATCTGATGACTGGGATGGGTTATATCCCACAATGTCGAAATCCTTTCTTTACAAGCTTTGGAAAGGGGATGTCTCTTCCAAGATGCTAAACCCTCGACTGCAGAAGGCGATGAAAGATTATTTGAGCACCAATAAGCATGGGGTGCGGTTCAAGGGGAAACGAAACTCCAAGTTGACAGGAGACCAGCTATTCTGCGAGCTAAAAGAAAGGGTGAATGTGAAAACAATAGATGGCAAGGAGGCTCCCTTCTCTGCTCTTGGATGGGAAAAGCACGTTCCCCAGATTCCACTGGGCAAATTGTATACACATGGTTTTGGGAGCTGTGCCGTAGTTATGTCTGCTGGTGCAATACTGAACTCCTCTCTGGGGGATGAAATAGGTGGGTGAAATGCATCTGTTCATGTGCATATATATGTACATGTGTGTATTCATGTCTGTCTTTCAAAAGGTTCATTCTTGTCAAGCACAGGTCTGTAAAGCTGGTTGTTCTCTCTCACCAGCGTTATGTGAGTGTGAGCTTACGGACTTCAGTGAAGCTGTTCCCTTTCAGGACAATATAACTGAAAGGAACATCAGGCCTGAAGTCATAATTTGACTTAAAGAAAACAATGATGCCTTCTTATCATATTACAGCTTGTAGTATAAAGGAGGCACTGGTTTTATCACATCTGCTATATTTGACATTTTGCTGCAACATACGTTTATTTCTTCAGCAGATTAGAGCCACACTCAGGTTTTATTCTGCAAAGCTGTACTGTACCTGTCTATATTTCGTGGTGGCTCATAGAGAAACTGCTTGTGGTGTTACTATGCCAGACTGAACTTTGTCTCCATGCCAAGAAGCAGTAGAGCATCCTCTTCATCTTTTGCATGTTTTGAGTTCACAGACATACAGAATTCAGACCCTGGAGCAGCTCCATGTGCTGAGGTCAGGTTCCCTGACCTCTTTTCCAAGAGTGAATTTAAATGAGTTGAAGTATCTCCTCCCATTCATTTTTCCATTGCTGCACTGAGTCAGTGAGGTTACAGATGTTCTGAGCTGTCAATGTTACACACAATTCCCCACTTAAAGGTGGGAGTTTTGTGGTAGTTGTTCAGAAGAAGATTGTGGAGCCATATAACTAATCCAGGTCAGGTTTTTTGGATTTATTTTTTTTTCCAAAAATATGTATTACTACTCATTTTAATATCTCAGTAGTTCTTCATTTTAGTAGTACATGTGCAGTATGCTAAGAGCTATGAAAGAAGGATGAAATGTATGTCTCAGACTTGCTTCTGGAGCAAGAAGAGTTATCTCTTTCAGCTCTCTATAAAAACCTTTTGATATGCACTCATTAATCCTCCCATCTTCCAGGACTTCACATCCCAGTACCTGCTTCATTGCACTGTATCATCTCTTTGACACGGATGGGTTTCCTTTAAATCTCTGGAATATATTAAAGCTGCTATCATTATCAAACTGCGCTAATGGGCTTCCAGCACAGCATAGGTGCCCAGCCAGCCTGCAGCTAAAATCACATCAGGGTAACCCCCAGTTTCACAGGAAGCCCCACTGATTTAGAAATCTTTAGGGTGAAATAGCTAAACGGTTCCTCTCTTCTCCAACGTGTAATCCTTGGCTGAAACACAATCTTCTGTCAGTGTCCCCTGTACCCCCAATTTACACTGGTACAGATTAGTGCTGTACTAGAGAATCCATAGCACACTGTGACATACTTTTATATTTATATATTACAGCGTGCATCATGACATATTCAGGTGCAGCTGAGGTGTGGACTTTGGTGCTTGACATGGTGCCTGGGGGCCATATGTTCCTATGTGTACCCATTCTCTCAGGAACACCTTGGGCACAGAAAGCTCATGCTATTGTCTGAGGAAGAGTTTTTTATTTAATTGGGAAATTGTGGTCTGAGGTCTAAAGGAAGGAGGTGCTGGGTGTTTGGTAAGGCCTGCACTGAAGTTTCAGATCTCCTCCTACCTGTTGTACAGGCAAGTGTGTGGGATAGCAGAGTCACAGAAGTTTTCAAAATGTGTCTTCAAATACTTGTGAGTGATAAGAGAATTTGGCCCAGAACTGGGGACGGGGGGCGACTGACTTCTTACAGCCATCCCAGAAGGGGCTGGTGCAAACGGATGGGTCATAGTGGACAGTTCAGCTCCTGGGAAATGCCGATATACTGGAGATATCATGCCAGCATTTCCCACTTAAAATGGAAAATGGATGCTCCAGCATCTGTTTGTCCCACGGGGAAGAAGTTATGCTTCCCCTACAGAGTCCGGATAGGATGTGTTACAGCCCAGCTCTTGGCCATGCCTTTCCACCTCCCCTCTAATCTTTGGAAACGTGTAAAGAGTCTGACCAGGAAGAGAAAGATCAGACTGCTCAAGATGCCCTTCTTCTTTGTGCATGCACAGGTCTAAGAGAAGGCTGTCCTCTCCCGAAGTTGTCACCAGGGCTACCAGCTCTTGGTTGAAAATGCAAGCAAACCTGCCCGTTTGGAGGCATCTTGGGTGGCCAGTGGTGCTGCTGTATGGAGTTAGCCTGGCACCCGGGCTGGTCTCCTCCATATCCACTGAGGCACGGCAAAGTCAGCATCATTAGGGAGTGGGGAAAAATCCCCCATATATGAGTTCTAGTTTTTCAGCCATGGGCTGTACAGCCTTGGTTGAGGAAGTTGCTGCAGGCAAAAGGCTTTTACTATTTATCCTCCTGAAAGAAAAAGAGGCTTTAAGAGAGCAGCAGCAGAGGACCTTTCTCTTCACAGGCCTTTAGCTCCCTCTTCTGTGCTCCTATTAGAAACGCAGACAGAAATGTTAATTTCTGTTCTGCCTTTTGCCCATCTCCCTTCCACCCCTCAGATTGTTTTTGAATAAAATTAGGTATGGAAATAGTGTGCCAGTGCAGCAAACACACCCATTGTGATCATGCTGCTTAATGGGAGACCCAGTTATTTTGGCATCATCAGGAAGGGATCTGCAATCAAACCCCAAACTTACGTCTTTAAAATTGTTCTCTCCAAATACTAAGATTAAAATCAGTTGGCTTAAAACCAGCTGTTATCAGTGTTAGGCTGTGTCCTGATCATATATTTTATGGTGAAGGAAAGGTGTTTGCTCTTGATAGGAAGAACCAGCATGAGTAATGTTGGAAATGAGATACAGCACACTGTCTCTCAAGAACCATAAAATTCCCATTTCCCAACCCGATTCCCAGTTCTCAGTCAACAGATCGTCAAAAGGTTGTCAAAAACAAGTCCAAATTTACATTCTTAAATTCATAAGCAGGTTTCAAAAAGGACCTTTGTTTTTCTTTTCCTTCTCCAAAAATGCGGAGTACCTCCAGCTTCTATTGACGTCATGTCCTCTAACTCCTATGCAATCAAGGTGCTTATGTTTAGGCAGATGAAGGCTAGGTGTTGAGGCTAGGATTGTCCCTGCATAGGGACATAGAAAAAGCCTCCACTCCTTCTTAGGTTCTGAGTTGGTCTTGGTAGACATGTGGCAAAAGCTGTCTTTTCAGACATGTTAAAGCAAGCAAGTGTGGCTGAGATTGGACTGATGGCTTCATGTCGCACAAGTCTGAAGTTAAGGTGTGAAAAGGCGAAAGATCCCAGTTCGATAGGGTCAGGCCTGAACTCCATTGGAGCCTGTTGGTTATCTTTGGAAACTTCTGAGTCCTCTGCATTTTAAGTGACTATAGATAAACAGCTGTATAAATTACCTGTGGGTTAAGGCATTATATGCCCTTTTTGGCCTGATCACATTCTCTGCTTCCGTCAATAGAAGGGGCAAAAGTATACCAAATAGGGGGATATTGACAGAGACTGTGGTTCTGGACAATGAATATAATGTTTTACTCTCCCTCACACCTTTTGGGCTTTGAAATCCCCTTAACAGAAGCACTGGGAGGGTGACTATCTTTTATCCAGTGGAGGCCTGCACGGAGTGTCTGCCCTTGACCCATACTTGACCTATAGCTGCTTTCTATTCTGCATGACTCCGAGGTCAACAGCTCATGGGGAAACTTTGACAGTTCAGCTCTGTTAGATCTTTGCCACCAAGGGTTCCTCAGGTTTCTGTGTGCAAGCAGGTTTGTGGGCCGAATTCCCTACAGAGGCTCTTTAAGACTTGTACTGACCTTGAGAAAATAAGTACACGGTATGACTAATAGGTTTGAGGTAGTCTGAGATTTTCAGGTATTATAAAATACTGTGAAGCACAAGCTTACAGTTGAGCATTGTTATTCATTCAAATGTGTAATTAACGTGCTTTTGCATGGAGTAATTCTTTGTAAATTTTGCAATAGAAATAGCGAGCAATTGTATGTACTGGGTGTACTAATAACCTTCCCACACTAAGTTTATCCAATTAAGAGAAACATTTAAGCATTGCAAGCTAAATTAATAGATGGTTCTGAACTTTTTTCTGGTGGATTTTAGTAATGTTAATAACATATGGCAGATGCAAGAGGATTTTTGTTTGTGCACAGTAGAATATTTATTGTCCTTAGAATATCAAGATTAGGAGAAATCTGTCAGTTTTACATTAGTTTAGATGATATATTTATTTTACTGTTCTATATTATTAAGAAAAACAATTTACTTCTTCATTTATGCCTCTAGATTCTCATGATGCCGTTCTAAGATTTAATTCTGCTCCAACACGCGGCTATGAAAAAGATGTTGGAAATAAAACAACCATGCGGATCATTAACTCTCAGGTAAGATCTTCCTTTTGTGCATTCAAGTCAATGTCATTTCTGTACAATATGACATTAAATTAATAACTCCTGAGACAGAGTTGGGTAATCTGGGAAACAGCTAGTGATATATCAGTCATGGTGTAGAGCAGGTAAAAGTTCTCCCTTACAGGGATGTTCACCCTGCTGTCAGCGTAGAGTGATTGCAGTAGTCACTTGATATCCTTGTTTCAAAGAATTGGTTTGTAAGGTTTCTCATGTGTCCTACATCTGTAAAGGCTCTGCAGGATGCCAGAGCTGTCTGTACAGAAGACCTTCACCACACTGCCTCCGGGATCTTCACAAAATCCAGGCTGTGGGGATCCCAAAGCTCTTTTCTTATATTCTCCAGTTCCCCAATTATTTCCTCGCTGGAAGGCGAAAGAAGCGGGTACTGAGTTGTCTTAATACATAACTTTAGGCAAGTTATAATTCTTGAAAAATTTGGAATGAACTAATAAAAAACTTTAATGTACACTGGATAATACTTGTAAGGTGAGCTTGTGCATCTGAATGGAAACAGAAAATGGGATTTTCCGCACGTGGGTGTCAACAAATAATTGTGCATTGAGCTATAGTGACACCTTATGGTTAAGAGTAGTTTTTCAATTTTGAAAAAAAAAACCCTGAGCTCTGGTCTTGGGCACACCAGGCCTCTTTCCTCTTTATGAAATGGAGCCAAAAAGCAACTGTTGAATTACTGTGAAATTTTATGACATATTGAAATGGTTAGTCAACAGCAGTAGTATGATTGGCTATCTAGCATGCTCTCTACATACTTATTCTTGCTGAATGAGAGCAAAATTCTTATTCTTATGAATCCATTTTTCCTACCTCTTCTTTGAGTGACTGCCCATGGAGCGTTCATCCTCTGTGGGTCTCTTTTCTGTGTGTATAAGTTCATGTTCTTTGTCAATGCAGAGAGGACTGTTCACCGTCATTCCCTTCACACTCGTTTTGTAGCTCTTTGGGAGGCTGTAGGACAGACTAGATTCTTCATGTGATCTGGGTCAAATAGGCCCCCTTTCTCTTGCTCAGGGGAAGAATGCAGAAATATCTTACTCTGGATTTAGTGCTGAAATCAAGGTATCAGAGAACATAGATCTTCATGTCATTTATTTTACTTCTCTTTTTTAATCTCTTTTTATTCTTCTCTTTTTTTGGGGGGGGGAACTTTCTTGTTTTTTACTGTTACCCCAAACATCCTGGTTTCTGACCGTGCCTGAACTCCTGTGCCGGGCAAGGAAGAGGGTTTAGAAACTTTATTTAGTTGACTAGTGTCACAAGGCTCCCCATGGGAGAAGAAAGGAATGCCTCCAGGGACTGATCTGAGCTTTATTAACTCCCCAGTGAATTCAGAGGGACTAAACAGGTAAATTAGCTGCTCTCTGCTGCTCGCAGCAGGCTGGGGTCCTCCTGGCTCCCAGAGCTGCTGCAGTGTACTCTGCCAGGGTGGTAATGGAGGGTCCCATGGTCTTCTCTGCTGCGTTGTACATTGCTTGCCCTCCACAAGGCCTCTCGAGAAAACACAGGACATGGCTAAAATTCAGGTGAGGTCAGCTCACGCAGTGTCCTCAGAAACATATTCTCACCACATTTCTTCTCCTTCAAAGAGATCAGAAGCCACCCATGATGCTCTGGCCACCTGTTGAGAAACTGGCCTTCCCCTCCCAGGGAGAGAAATCTGCGCAGCCCACTTGATAGACGTTCCTTTCCCTACCAGTACTGAAAATACTGAAAACTCATACAGGTTACTGACCCTCCTTCCCTCCTCGCTGTTGGAAATTCCTGCATTCATTTGCCGAAAAGGCTGCTGTGGCCCTCTCCTTCCCTCTTGTTCTCTGCTGTGAAAGCCCAAAGGACATGAAGGAAGCCAGTGCAGCCACAACAGATATTGTTATTCCAAAAGAAACTCATCTCATACATATGAATGCAGGCTCACTAAGAGTGAAATTTGTGTGGACAACACCTCCAAAGGACTCTTGCTTACTGAAAGGCAAGTAAGAGCTCTTTTGTGTGATAACTGTAGAACTCAGCTTTTAAAAGCTTGACCTTTTGGTCTGTTTACTCTGTACTCTCAAAAAAGGAGTTTACGTTCTCAGGCAGAAACTGCTCTGAGAAATGGAGCTAGGGATGTTGATGGCAGCAAGACTAATTCTGTTCTTGTTGTAGAAGGCTGATGGAAAGTCATTAAGCTCAAAGTTTATGGTAGGAAGAATATTGCTATGGCAACAATATTTTTCTGAAGAAAAATATGCATAATCAAATATGGCTCATTGGATCCTAAAGGGAAATGAAAATTAGTATGAATTTATTTGTCTGGAATGTTTATTAGTTTAACAGCTGGAGCCAAATTCATGCTGTTTCAACCAATGCTGAAATCATTCGGCTCAATCCTGCCTGAGATTGGATGCACCAGGGATCAGAGAGATCTGGTTAGGCATGGAGAGTCCAGGAAGGGATAAGCCAGCAGGAGTGAAAAGGAAACTTGAGTGGGGCGGGAGGATCAGGCAGAGTACCAGGAGATGCAGGAGGGAGTATTATGAGAGCAGTAGATCAGAGCATTTGACAGTTACTTCAAAAATAGCCCTATCACACGCCTGTTCCTGGAATTATTTTTCTAGGTATACCGGTCTTTACAGCTGAAATGAGACTGTCTTGTTGTTGAAATGAGAAAGCAATCAAAATGGGGGGGTGAGGGGAAAGACATTATCCTTGAGGGCTTTAGCCCTTCAAAGTAAGCTGCTCTGTATCCAAGAAGAGGATCCTGCAGTCTGAAATACTGGAGCTTTCATTTTGAAGTTCCAGTACACAGTAATGTTGATATACAATTATGCAGCATCTTGAGTGGTCCCATCATATCCCTCACAGATGGAGAGTAGTAATTCAGCATACTGCTTCTTCAAACTGTCATGAGTGCTGTTTACGGCTAAGCTCATTTTATATATATATATATATATTTTTAACAAAACAAGTTGCTTAAAATCAACCAGAATTAAAGCAGAACAAACAGCAGTGTGGGGGGGACTGTTCATTTCAGAGAAGGATTTTGCCATTTTTCTGGGTCCCACTTGTCTTTAACAATTGTGCAATTCTTTGCGTGTGTGTTTGCAGATTCTCACCAACCCAAACCATCACTTTGTCGACAGCTCCTTGTACAAAGATGTTATCTTAGTAGCATGGGATCCTGCCCCCTACTCTGCAAATCTGAATGTGGTAAGGTGTCTGCTTGCTCTTTTCTTCCCAACCAGCCTGAAAGCGCTGGAGAAAATAAATGTATTTAGTACTTCAGTCTCCCGCTTCTCATTTGTCACAAGGAACCCCAAAGTCTGTGTTCATCTAAGGAGTGGGGAAGGCTGTTTCTGCATAAATTGGTCAAAATTGGTTTATTGGTCAAAAGCTTTTTAGTAGCCAGTACTTGTGCTGGAATGGAGTGCTCTAAGATGCTAGGATAGATGGATGATGGGGTTTTTTGGATAAAATACTGCTTCACATAACAGTGAGTTTTCTATGTGCTTGCCAAGGAGGGAACATTACTAGATCTCAAAAGGAGGTTTTATCAGGAAAGGTGAAGAATTGCGTCCATTTTATCCCACCTTCCCTGCTGCCTTCCCGGACAAAATGCAACACCCTAATGAAAATTTCTCTTGGCGCCTTCCTCATTTCTCAGGCCTCCTCCCCACCAGTCTATCCTGTGTGTCCACTCCCCCACAGCCATCTGTGCCCCGCCGTCCGCCCCCTCGCTGAGTGCCGCAGACGTCCATCTGGTTGTCACTGGGGGAGTCTCTGCTTTGGCTGGTGCTGCAGCTCCAGTGGACCAGTTGATCTGATGGTTCTTGGCAAGGGGAGCTCGGAGCTGAGCAGGCTGCAAAGTAGAAAGTAAACCTTCATCTGCTCAACTCCCTTAGCAACAGATGCCAGGAGGCTGCCTGTCTCCTACGCAGGCTGCCGTCAGGCTGCTTCACGTGCTGCTGCTGCCACCAGCAGGGACAGGGGCACTTTCAGAGGAAGGTTCACCCCCTCGCCCAGGTCTTGTGTCAAGGCTCTTTGAACCCCTTGTTCAACGCGGGCCTGTGAGTGGGAGGTGAGGTCGGCCCATCCTGCTGCGGTGAGTTGCTTATTGGGAGTCTCTGTATGAAGAAAGGAAGCAAGAGTAACCCAGAGTGAGGACTGGCTTTCTAGGACAAAGCATCCACCTCCTTTTCTACCTTTGCTTCTGTTCCAAAGAACCCGGATGAAACGAGTTATTTTGCATGTAGTGTTCAAAACACATTGGATACCGTAAGATTATAAAAATTCTTACTGTTTTCCTTACAGTGGTATAAGAAACCAGACTACAATCTGTTTACTCCCTACGTACAGCATCGCAGGAAGAATCCACACCAGCCGTTTTACATTCTCCATCCAAAGTTTATATGGCAGCTCTGGGACATCATTCAGGAGAACACTAAAGAGAAGATACAGCCCAACCCTCCTTCTTCAGGTTTTATTGGTAGGTATATAAAAGGGGGGCCCAGTAGACATGTTAGATTTGAAAAATATATACAAAAATTCTAAATATGTACATTGCATGAGGATCAAGTCCATAGACAGGTACTATTTGTTCTTGGTGCTCTGTAGAGAAACAATGACTAGCTAAAACACACGGTATGAGAACTATGAAATAATTGGGTGAATTTAATTTTCTGCTTTCTTGCCCTTCAGTATGCATACCAGATTTACAAAACATACATATATCGGTGAGAAATTTCTACTATTCCATATTAATTTATCTATTGAGAACCTACTTGATTCTGAAGTTCTTTGTTGGGATCATAGGGCAGAGACGCATCAGACAAGTGAAACCATGTGGTGGGTCACACAGAGAAGCTGAAATCACTGATGTAGTCTGACAGGCCAAGCTGTATTCCCTACACAGGTCAAGGAATGGGGTTTCCCATGCCCTGTCACAGCTTCCAGTGCTCAGTCTTAAAGTGCCCAAAGTATTGCTCTTCTTCTTATGCTTGAAGGAGTAGTTTCACTGTATTTTTGGGTTCTTTCTTAGTATTTCTTGGGAAATATTCTTGCACTGTGTCCACAATTCATATGACATAATGACTTACCTGATGCATAGCAGGTCCTGATTGTGAATGTCTAAAGCATGCAACTAGTCAGAGTAGCAAGGCAGGGTCTTCCTTGCTCATCCTTCTAGATGCACAGAGAGCTACAGAGCTTCAAATACCATCTTCCATTTTGGAAACTCGATCCTTTCTGGTTTGACTTTGTGATATTGATCTATGTGTTTCCTGCAGCCAGAAAATGCTTTTATCATTCTTTCTATCTGAATCTGAAAGTGAAAGATACCTGAGATTGTATCTGACATGGGAAAGCCAGATCTGAGCGCTTATCCTGGGCTCTGTACAGTAATGGCATCCCATGATATTCTTGACCCCACCAAAGGCCCAGCGGGATGATGTAAAGGTGTCTGGGAGATGCCTATCTATGACCTGAGCATGTTGTTCTTACTTGGAATGTAACTGGAAAGAGGAGGAGGCCTTGTGTGTTGTAGGAGGATGGCTTGACAGTTGGTTACTTCTTGAAGTGAGATTTTTGGAATGTGCTTGTAAAAATTCATAAGGAGAAGTCTGCTCATGTGGAATGATCTCACCAGCAGCATTCACATTTTGCAAAAGCATTTATTGGAGTAAAGAAGTTGTTGATAAAAATAGGTTAACAGCTGCTGATCAAAAGAATAATGAAGAGGATCATTGTGCTGTCAGTCTGTACTTCCACCATATATAAGAAACACTTCAAAAGCTTTCTTTGAAGAAGTAGAGCTAATTTCACTATATGAATAGAACAGTAATCTTCAACCCCAAATCTAAATGTTCCTGACAAAAAAATATCCTTCAAGCAGAGAATGCTTTGAAAATATCAATCATTAAAAAAGCGAAAACATTAACAACAAAAGCTATAGAGATAAATATACTTTGTGTATACAGATGCAAATCTGGCTCCTTCACCTCTACTGGGATTTTTATTTAAATTGTTCTTTTCCAAAGGAGATGCTTAGACATTTTGGTAATGCTATTATTAGCTTTAAGAAAACAAGGCAGTAAGATAAGCTTATTGGGAGTCATATAGTATAGATGCATTTTAAATATTTTAATAGGGAGAGGCTTCCTATTTTAGCAACCTTATTGAGTGGATGCCTATGCATTGCATTCATGTGTAATGGGATACAGCACAGAAACAGACTGCATATTGTCAAAGGTGGACATAAAGGGCAAGATAAAGCATAAAAAATATAATATATCTTGGCAGAAATCTGAAAAGTCATGCTGGTCTTTAGATCAGGTGTCTCTCAACAATTCATGGAGCAAATATCCAGTTGGAACTGAAGCTGGCAGACACAACTGAGTGCACCTGCATGAAAGGTTATTAATAGCTGTATTAAAGTACTTAAGTCACAATATTATTAAGTCTTGGAAAAGGGGCCAGTGGGTCATTTGTGGGGAGGAGGTTGTCTCTTGCATGCTGTGACTTTCGGGGAATGAGTGAGTGAGAAGAGTTAGGATCTTTTTTCCCTGGTTTCTCTACCATGTGGGGGCAGGGAGAAGAATATTTTTTGTCCTTCCTTTGGGGTGTGGGACACCCTATCCTGGCTTAATTCCCTCCTGGACCCACCGGTTCCCCAAAACCCCATGTACATGGGCTCTGCACTGGCGTGTTGGTGGGGAGAGGCAATAGCACTGCAATAGCTGGTAGCTGAGGTGAGGGAAGCACAGTGTGTGTCCCAGCTGCTGCGGAGGAGAGGGGAGGATGGGGAGAGAAGTGTGGAACAGAGCAGGATTGGTTGTGCTCTACAGGTTGCCTATAAAATAAGGCTCAAGTCTAGAATTCTTTAGTAATACCACATTTTGTGTATGTTCACTTACTGTTTTAAGCCATTTAAATATGTCGCTGCTTCCAATAACTTCTGAAATGGTAACATACAACACACACACTATGGAGGTCTAAAACCAGGAGAGATTAATATTTCCCAACACAGATCAGCTTCCTCCAATAACAGTTTCCTCTCCTCTCCATCAGGTTCTGACCTATAGATGTGGTTCTAACCTGTAGATGGGACTTTGAGCAACCTGGTCTAGTGGGAGGTGTCCCTGCTCAGGGCAGGAGGGTTGAACTAGGTGGTCTTTAAGGTCCCTTGCAACCCAAACCATTCTATGATTCTATGTTCCTGACTTTGGTTTTCTTCCAAACAGGGTGTCAACTCACAGCAGCCCATCCATCCCCACTGTCAGGCTGCACCTTAACGAGGCTGCACACAGACCCACATCTGACCGCAGTCTTTTCCACTAAATTTGTTATTACTTGAACATTGTTTTCTACCTTACCTAGTGATAGGTGTAAGTTCAGGACATCATTGAAAGTAGGCCTGTCAAATTACATCCCGTTTGTTAGGTGTTACTTCTAGGGGTGTACTACGTCTAGGAAGGATTAACTCGGCACAGACAAGTTATCCTTTACTGGGGTATTTTCTAGTGGATCCACCTCAAAGGCTATGAATAATGACCAAGAAAACACAGAGATTGTTTGGGTTTTTCTGTGGGCAAAGGTTCACCAAGGTAAAACAAATGTTTTCTTTTAATCTAGGAGTCTTTTTTGCCTTGTTTTCTGAGACATTGATGTGGACTTCCCCTGGCTTGTAACTTTGCCTTATGTGGTGTGTTGTATCTTAGCTAATGTCAGTCCTCATTATAAATGATTTACTCTTTGTCTCCCTAATCTAATCCTGAGATGAGCTTTGAGAACCCATTCTTGCATATTTTTGCATCATTTTTGCAGCTGCCACCTTCACACTTTTAAACGAAACTCTGTGTGTTCTCTCATCATGTGTTAGCATTAGGCAATTACCATGGGGCTTTTTGCAGTTAAATTTGTTTATTCACATGTACCTGAAAATTGGGTTTGTTACAGTGTTGATATGTTTACATCGCAGCTTGGACTTTGATCTAGCCCATTTTACTCAGAAAAAATGTAAGCATCCAACCACCAAATCTCGGATTTGGATTCCACTAGCGAATCCTAAATTGGCAGTTGAGAAAATGTCACGGTTATTAGGGACGAATTTGCCCTATCTTTTGGCAACAGAAATAAGTGTTACCTGTTCTCTTCCCATTAATACATTTTTCACTGTGAAATATGAACTCGGGCTTCCTCCCCTCTTTCTGAACATAGCAAAGCTCAGTTTTTAATTGAGGCTGATTGCATATAAATCAGCAGTCTCTATTTCCACCATTCTGCTGTAAGAAAACTGTTCCTATAGCCTCCTTGGTAGCCTCTGTAAACCACCTAGTTCTAAATTTACATTTTTGTCATCTGAAGATCAAGACTAAAATGGATTCTCTGACTGTCTCAAGAAATTCTGTGTGGATTGGATGGGATGGCACATTAGCATTTGGAATGTTTGGGGGCTTTTAATAATGTCTAGAATATACAGACTTTTCTATGAATATTTTGCTCCTGTCCCTTGTTTATTAACTGGATTTGCCGTAGTCTGTTGGTACGCTTTGCTAGCTTACCTCTTCTGAGGTGGTTTTACTGGAAATTTGCTTTTATATACCTTTTCATACCCAGCAGCTTTTGTCTTTTTAAAAAGCTAGTTGAAAGCTCTGACTGTGGTATTCTTTTTTTTTTTTTTTAACTCCCAAATCAAAATGTGGTCTGTGCAGGTTTTTACATTTCAGGTTGTCTGTGTAGGTGGTAGTCTTTGCTATGTGTTGTAGCTTTCAGCGTAACACATGATCCACGGCACACAAAATGATAACTAAACCCAGATTACTTTATTGTTGGGAGAAAGAAAGGCTTGTTTGAGGCTTTACAGTTGACGTTACAGATTTAACAGTTATGCGTCATTAATAGTTGATAACATTATTTTAATCTTCATTTGCATGCATTGAGACAATAGTACAAGCAAGACTATCATTACACTGCAATATTGGCAGATCATTGTATGACTAAGAACTTAAATTTAAAATGGCTTCAGAGAGCATGTTGAATAGAAGAATGCAGCTGAGCTCCATCTCTGCTTAGAAAAAATACACTTGCATGAACTGAAAGAAACAATTCAACATATTAAGAGTTGCCTTTATTACTGTTACTTACTCAGCTGTCTGCCAGCAGTTGGTGATGGAAAAGCATAGTGCTTACTCTTTGCAGCTCAGTTTTGTTCAAGTATTATCACACAAACAAATAATACCACGAAATACAGAAGCTTTAAATTCTTCTTATTCCAATAAAAAACACTCTGAAATTTGAGCCACGAAATACAGAAGCTTTAAATTCTTATTCCAATAAAAAACACTCTGAAATTTGAGCATCTCCTACTTCCTGAAATACAACGGTAAAAGAGTAAACTCTCCTCTTACAGCACCCCAAATTACATAAACAAATCTTTACTATTCTAGTGTAAATTTGAATAATACATTTAAAATTATATGATATTACTGG